CAATCCTTGGTTATCCCGTCATCTCAAGGGGTATCATTAATGTCATTGGCTAGTTTTTCATTTAACCAATGTCTGTTTGGCACATTTTCAAAGAATTAAAAGAAAATAATTGAAAATATAAGTGTGTATAGTAGTTACTTGCACATGCTATCCACTTTGAGAAGCTTTAGCCAGTGAAAAGAAATGAACCCAATATAGGATAATGTGTGTGCAAAATATTTCAGGGATAATTAAGTTTAGATTTGCAAGAAAACTTGAATAGAGATTTTCTTGAAAATTAAAATTTCCTGGCAAGCAAAAGGCAAGTAAATACATGGTGTACAGTACTGAAGAAGATACAAAGGTGTAAAATGTGATTCCTGTTAACCAGGATTTATCATGTTTATCAAAAATCCTTTCTATTTTATTATTTGTCTGAAAAGCTTTCTCCTAAGTATAGAATTTTGAAGAGAATGTAACCTTTCTTCAATTTAACTTGCCTCGGACATTACTGAGAATCTGTTCTCTTTGTACAGTGCTGTAGATTGTACTATAAGAAAATGGGCTTCCCTAGCTGGTTTGGCTCAGTGGATAGAGCATCAGCCTGCGGACTAAAGAGTCCAGGGTCCGATTCCAGTCAAGGGCACATACTGGTTGCATCTTAATCCCCGGCCCTGGTCAGGGAATATGCGGGAGGCAACCAATTGATGTGATCTTTCTCTCTGTCTCTCCCCCTCCTTTCCACTCTCTCTAAAAATCAATGGAAAAATATCCTTGGGTGAGGAGTAACAAAAAAAAGAAAGAAAAAAAAAAAAGAAATTGAGCTGAGACTGTCAGACCATAGTTTTTTCCAGGGAATTGTTTTCTAAAGAAATCCTTTTGATAGTTTATTTACTTTTTCTCCTTAAAGAAGAGTGCAACAGAACCATGGGGTTAGTAGGGTTCCAAGTAATGTTTTAAAAATCTTTGCCTACCTGCTAGGTTAAAAAAAAACACCACTAATTGTTTTAATTTCCACCTTTTTGATGACTAATGCTACTTGACATCTTTTCATGATTATTATGAATTTGAATTTTTTCTTTTGAGAATTGCCTGTATGAATCCTTGTTCTATTTTAAGTTTGGGATATCTATCTTTTTTTGGCTGATTAAAAACTCTTTAAATAATAGTTACTAAACCTTTGCCTACATATAAGTTGTACTTATTTTTCCAGTTGTTGTTTGTGGTTTAACTTTGTTTATAGTGCTTTTTGTCTTGTATATGACATTTAAATTTTAATTTTTAGTTGTTCAAATGTATCAATCTTTTCCTTTATGGTTTCTGGTCTGTGTTCTGCTTAGAAAGGCCTTTATAATCCGAAGATTATAGGAACATTCTATTGTTTCTACAACATTTATGGTATTTTAATATTTAAATCTTTAATTCATCTGTAATTTGTTTTTGTGCAAAGTCTGAGGTAGAGTTTTGTTTTTCTTCAAATGGATAGTCAATTGTCCTAATACCATTTATTGAACCTATTTTTATATTTTATTTGATTTTACAGAAATGAAAGAAAAACCCAAAGCACAAGAACCAGAGACACCAGCAATTCCAAACGTTCCTCAAGAGATTCACCCAGAAAATGACGTCTATAGTTATGTTTTGTTTTAACAATGCTCAATCATAACAATTGTGCAACATCTTATTACATGTGATTTTTCTCAAAATATTGTAGCAATCTCTACAATATTCATTCATATTTTAATAGTGTGTTCTTTTTCCATGTATAGATCATATCTGAAAGAGAGAACTAATGTGTTTTCCAGGCTATACTACATAGACAACAACCTACAGTGTGTGTGTGCATGTGTGTGCATGTGTGTGTATGTATATGTATATTGGGGTGAGGATAGTGGTGGGGAAAGACGAAAATGCGAAAGGGGAGGGCTGAATAATTAACTTTCCCCTAATATTTTAAAATTATTTTTTAATTTACACCTGTGGATATTTTTTCATTGATTTTCAGAGAGAGAGTGTAAGGGAGGAGGAGAGATAGAGGGAGAAAAACATCGATGTAAGAGAGACACATGGATTGGTTGCCTTCCGCACGCACCCTGACCAGGGCCAGGGATTGAGCCTGAAACTGAAGTATGTGCCCTGGACTGGAATTGAACCTGGGACTCTTCATTCCATGGGCTGACGCTCTATCCACAGAGCCATACCAGCTAGGGCTTGATTAATTCTTAAGAGCAAAAAAATTAATAAATTTGAGCACTTAAAATTTGGGTGAGTATATACTTTTCTTGTAAACTTTGTTCAACTAATAATGTAACAATAGCATCAAAATTTTATTCAAGTTTTAGTTGTTTTTTTAAGTTAATTTTATCTTTCTGGGACTCCAAAGATATTTTGTAGTGCTGAATGTATTTACTTGTGTATTTGAATTTGAATTTTCTGTTTTTACTTTTTATATATTGTATTTGTACATTAAATCATTATTACATGCTTAATTGTGTGGAATACATCATGGTAAGCATTTTGAAGGTTAGAAGACTTATAACACTTTGTCCATCAGGTGTTTAATCTAGTCTTACGGGGGAATAAAACAGGAAACAAATAATTACTAAAGAAAATAGTAAATGACAGTGCCATTTGAACAGTAGATACAATAAAGGGAATGCTCTCTTTTGCTGAAGTGATCTGAAAAATTACACAAGTGGAGCCTTGAAAGATGGAGAGGATTTATATTATAGGTGAGGATAACGGCATTATTATGGTATGTTCCACAGAGAGGAGTGAATTCAAGTGTTCAAGACGTTCAGTTAATGCAGGGTCCCTGTGGAATAGCAGCCTAGTAGCTAAAAATCTTGTATTATTAGAGTGTACAGAATTTTGAATACTTAACTAAGAAGTATATCCCTTGTTAGGTAATGGGGAACTAAGTAAGACTTTTGAACAATGAAGTGGCAGTTTTAGTATTTAGGAGTATTTATTTGGTGATAATGGTCAGGATTAACTGAAAAGGAGGAGAGCCTGGGGGCAGGAGCAGGAACTATTCTGGGTGGGAAGAGGTCTGGAAGTTTGGTTCAGCAAGGTCACAATTGCCTAAGCTTTCTATGCAGATGTAGCAACAGTAAAGAACAAGACAATCCTAGTCTCTCAAGCATTCATGGTATAGAACAGTGGTTCTCAACCCTCTTGGTATATAAGAACCACTGGGGAAGATTTCGAAATTACGATGCCCAGACACCTCCCTGGGGCTTCTATTCACCTAGGATGACATCCAGACATAGGTATATTTTTTATTTTGCTTTAAATGACTTTTTGAGGAATAATTTTAGAATCACATAAAAAAGCTGTTTCTAAACCTGTTCATTTGTTATGAACTAATATTCCTGTATACCTCTCACCCAGTTAACATCTTCTGTAACCATGGTCCACGTACCAAAACTTAAGAAATTAAGATGTTACATTACCTTGAAGAGGTAGCAATCTACTTCATTAGTCTTTCCAAGTCTGCTCTGCATTTCAGTACTTGTCACACTTGGTAATGAATGTATTTTTGTGTGTGTAAATGTCATTACATATGATGTCTAAGGCAGGGAAGGCAAATAAATACCTCATTTTCTACACTAGACTGTCCACATATTAAGGAAGACTGTCACTTTCCACAACACCACCATCTAGTGGCAAACACAGCTATTACCACGCCAGTTTTATAGTGTATATATAGCTCAGCCATCCTCAAACTTGTTTCTTCAGCTACACAGAGCTGTTTCCGAGTGGAGACAGAATAATAGCATTCTTTTCCAAATTGTCAAGTGCCTTTCTGTTTAAACCACGTTCTCTTTAAATCCTTGGCTCTTTCTGCTGATTCTTTTCTACTAGTGACCCATTAGTTCATAACAAATGAACAGGTTTAGAAACAGCTTTTTTAAAAAAATGGTTGTTAAGCTTTTAAGTCTGTGGATTTGTATGCTTTTGAATAATTTATATTGTAGGCAATATGTCTCCATCCTACCACCACGCCACGTGAACTAACAGGATAAAATGCCCAGAAACAGAAAAATGCATACAGAGAAACTTAAAATAGATAACAGATGATGTTACAAGTGGGTAAAAGGATAGGCTATCCTACAGGGATAACTGCTCATCGAATGCGATTTAAAAAAAGGTTCCTCGTTGTCCCTCAGCTTCTCAGAGCTGCCCAGAAACAACGACCCTAATCCCTTCAATGCAAATGGCCTGTTGACTCTCAATTTCATTCTCACTTCAGTTTCCTTGAGGGAGGGAGCACAAAAACAGTCCCAACTTCTTAACCCCTAATCCGGTATGGGGTTTCCCATCCATTTTATTTGAAGGTTTACTTGGGTTCCTTTCTGGTAAATCATTCTTACTATGGAAAAATGGGAGCATACATACAAGTATGAATGTATGGTATGGGTATTACCACCACCCAAGGAGAATTTTAAACATTTCCTAACATCCGATCATTTTGCTATTTGGTCATTGCACATACACATTCTCCCCCCGGCCCCACATTATTTTTCTTTAAATATTAACGTTATGCGCTTGATATGTAGGTTGCTTATTTGGAGATAGACATCTTTTAAATCTTCTTGGTTGTGCCCTGCCCCCACCCCTTGGGAAGGGCGGGGACTCGGAGTCGCTGATTGCTCTGAAAGGGCTAGCAACTGCAGCGGGTCCGCGCGAGACAATTAAGACACCGGTTCGGTTCCGAGAGGAACCCCGTAACGGGAGAGGAACAGAGGATGACAAACACCTGCACAGTAAAGGTAACCTTTGGGCTGCCCGAGGACATCGCGCGCGCCCCATCCACTGCGCCTGCGCCGGATACTGACACCACCTTGCGGGTGCGACTGCTGCGCAGGCGCCAGGCATGCAGACCGGAAGCGGAAGGCTAGAACGCGTGGGGTCAGCGCCTCTGTCACCTGTAGCCATGCGCGGCTTGGAGGAACCAGGGCGTCGCCCCACAGCGACCCCGTGCGGGTGCGTGAAGCCGGCTCTGGAGACAGGTAACTTCTGAGAGGCTGGCGATTTCGCACTCGGAAGAGGCCTAGGTGTGGGCCGCCCACTTCACTGCAGAGAGGGACGAGAAATGCAAGACCCTGAGCTGACGTGCGTCACATTTACTGCCAAGGCATGGCTCACGTGCTTTGCCGACCACGTGACCTGTCTAGGCGGGCTGGATGACGTCATCATGTTCCTCGGTAGCTGAGGTCCGCCGGGTCTTGCCGCGGTGGTTGGACTGGCCTCATCCCGTGTAACGGCTCTCATAGGGGGCTTTTGTTCATGTAGGAGAGATAGGATGCGTGCCGCTGGTGGTGTGCGGGTTAGGAATTAGTGGCACCAGTGAGGAGCTTCCTGTAGGCAATGAGAAAGCCTGGAAAGGCCAGAGGGAGGAAATAGTTTTAAACTGGGCCCGGAAAGATGAAATGAGTTTGCTTCTCTTTTTTTTCACCTTTGCATGTAGAGCAAACTATAGTAACTTTAGAAACTAGAGGATGCAAGTGGAAGAAAATTAGCCACCACCCAGAGAAAACCATGGTGAATATCTTGATGTTTGTTTTACTGCATACACCCTAGGAATATGAGTTGATATATGACCCCTAAAAACTTAAGATTCATAAAAATCCATGGTCAATCATTTTAATTTTAAGGGGTTAACTATTTTGTTTTATAGATGTCCTCTAACTTAACAAGTTCCCTATTATTGGGCGTTTAGGGTATTGCCAGTTTTCATTCTTTTAAATGAAAGTTCTTGAAACTAAAATCTTTGTGTATGCTCTGAATGTTTGACTTAAATTTCTTAAAAGTATTGTTACCTGGTCACAGGTGGTGCTCATTTTTTTTAAAGTTGCACTCTACCAGATTACAAGTCTAGTATTTTGACGGCAGGAAAGAGCATGCATGGCTCAGAGGTGTGTGGGATTAGGAAGCTGTGAATCCAGAAGTATTTGATGGAACAGGGAGTTTGGGGAACCATTGATTGGATTCAGATTATAGAGAACCTTGAACACCAGGCTAGGAAATGCACCATCTGTTAACAGTGGGAAACATGGAAAGTTAAAGTTAGTAGCATGACATAAGGAACCCAGAGTCTGGAGGACTGGAGTAGTGTGTGTTGAGGAGGGGAGGGACTGGCAGAGGGGAGACAAATTATAACAAGAGTCATTTAATAGTCCAGGCAAGAAGTGTAAAGGACCTACCATTTGAACTTTTCTGCCTACACAAGACTTGTAAATAAACACTGTGTACAAAACCTCTACATCAGTAACTTACTTTTTTTTTCTTACTAAACAGTTAATATAGTTGTAATATTGTTAAAAGGAAGGAAAGCCCAAGCAAGGGCTTTAAAAACCACTCCTTGCTGAGCACCTTCTATTGTACTAGGTGCTTTACATCTTTTGATAATCTTATAACTCTGATATAGGTGTTATTATCCTTGTTTTATAGATGAGAAAACAGATTTAGAGATGTAAGTGGTTTTGTCCAAGGTCTCACAGCTAGTGTAATAGCTCTACCTTGTTTTTGTCCTTTTTCTCTTCCAATACTAGCCCTAACCCTTCCATATTACTTATCCTTGTTTTATAGATGAGAAAACAGATTTAGAGACGTAAGCGATTTTGTCCAAGGTCACAAAGCTAATGTAATAGCTCTACCTTGTTTTTGTCCTTTTTCTCTTTGATACTAGCCCTAACCCTCTCATATTATTTAGGGAATCACTTCACCCCATTTCTCTGATTTTCATGCCAGTACTACTCTCATGGCATGCCTGTGCTTATTCCTATACTGCATGTAAGAATCATGTTCTGTAGTTGTATGACACCTGGTAGGTTTTAAAACTATGAAATCAATGCCTTAGAAAAAACATGTTTTCGTACACCTTTTGACTAATGATTTCTTACCTAATTTATTTTCTATAGGGAATCTTTTAACTGAGCCAATTGGCTACTTGGAATCCTGTTTCTCAGCCAAGAATGGTACTCCAAGGCAGCCATCCATTTGTCGCCATTCAAGGGCTTGTTTGAGAATTAGAAAGAGCATCTTTAATAATCCTGAACATTCCTTGATGGGTTTAGAAGAGTTTTCTCATGTTTGGTAAGTTGTTTTACAGCGTTGGGCCAGAGCTTGCCCCTGAGTAAAATGTATTCCAGTTGATATGCAACCACTGATGGAGGCAGCCTTAGAGCCTGTCATCCAGACCAACCTGTCTATTGCATGAGATGCCTCTGCTGTATTTGTGCATGTGATTGTCTGCATAACTTGGACACCCTGAGGGAAGCTTGGGATACACTGAGGAGGCACGGTCCTTTTGCAGTTGGCTCTCATTGTGATCAACACCTTTCTGTTGAGCTGAAATCTGTAGACCCTCTCTATTCTGTCTATGGGTAGTCATTCTGTTCTCTGCACCAGCAGTCAGCAAGCTGTGGCCCATGGACTGAATCCATCCCACCACCTTCTGTTTTTGTAAATACATGTGTGGGAACAGCCACATGCATTTGTTAATGTGCTACAGCAGCAGAGTTGAATAGTTACAGCAGAGACTGGTTGGCCTACAAACCCTAAAATATTTAATATCTGACTTTTTACTGAAAAAGTTTTCGGACCCTGCCCTATACCCATGAAGAATTAAGTCTACTCTTCTTAGAAGACAAAAGAGACCTTAGAAATCTGGATAGTTTAAATAAAGTGTTACCTGGGGACTCTTCCCCCTCCCCACGTGGGAGTCTGCTTGTTTCTCAATAAATTTCCACCTTTTACAATAATAATAATAATAATTATAATAAAGTGTTACCTATATTAAAGCCTGTGTTATATGTGTCATTTGGAATTCTTTTTGTCCATTCTTCCTCACCCCAACATCAGCAGTCTGAAGTGGTCTAATTTTACTGGTGTAGACCTAAAATTAAATTTTTGTTCTGAAATAGTTACTTTTTTCATGTTAGTTTGGGTAGATTAGAAAGAACATGGGTGTTCTGATGATCTAGTGTGTATGATCTTGATTGGATTATTTAAGTTAAAAACATTGCTGATATTTAAAAAATGGACTCAGGAGTATATAGATTTTTTTTTCTTAATTCTCCTCTTTTTCTTCTTTTTCATCCCCACCTTCCAACACTCTTCAGGGATTATTGCTGTTAACAGATCGGTGTATATCCTGCCAAACCTTTTCTTTCTTTTTCTTTTTTGATACTCATAGGAGCATAAATATACATACAGAGTGAGTTTTTTTAAAAAAAACAATGAAATATGTTTTCTTCACTTAGTGTGTATATCATGACAGTACATATAGATTTACGTTCTTTTGCTTTAATGGCTGCCTGTTATTGCAAAATATAGATATACCATGATTTGACTATTCCCTTGTTAATGGAGACTTATTTTGCTATTACAGTCATGCTGTAACAAACCCCCTTAGACATATTCTTGGGCACTTGTATATTTTTATGAATAGGATATGGGAAGTGGCTGTATTGGGTTAGAAGGTGTACATACTTATAATTTTGGAGAGCTCCTGCCAAATTGCCCTCTAAAAAGCATAACCAATGTATACGTCAAGGGTAAATGAAAATGACCTTTTCCATACACTATTGATAACACTATTTGTTACCAATTTTTTACATTTTTGCCTGACAGGAAAAAACAGTATTTTGTTTTTTAGTTTAATTTTTTTTATTATTAACAAAGTTTAACATCTTTTCATATGGTTGTTAGCTATTTCTCTTTCTTTTGTCAATTACTTTTATGGTCTTTGTTTCGTTTCCTATATTGAGTTGTCCTTTGTGATATGTAGGAAGAGTTTAGATACCACAAATATTAACCCATTCATTGTCTATTATACACACAGAAAACATTTTCTCCTTGGATGACATTTTGTAGCACATAAACTTTATGATTTCAAATCTGTTAACTGCTTTTCTTCATAGATTTTTGCTTTTAATCTTGTATAGGAAGACCTAGTCAAGTTGTTTAACATTTCTGAACAGCAATTTCCTCATCCTTAAAATGGGGAATAAATTATACTTCTTAGGATTGTTAAGCAGATTAAATGATGTGAATATAAAAATGTCTAGCATACTGCCTGGCATATAACAAACACCTCATAAATATTGTTTATGGGGCACTTGACAAACATCTATTAAGTTCTTACTGTGTACCAGTCATTGTATTAGGGACAAAGGATACAGAGATAAGACTCTTCCTTCATGAAACAGGAATGGTGTTTTTTTTTCTCATGGATTACATTTTAATACCATTAAAAGCATTCTTTCTGTTTTAATTTGTGGGGATTAAAGATTTTCCCCCCTCAGCTCATTATGATAAATTAACTTGTGCTTTTTTCTTACTCAGTGGTTTGTTTTTTTCAATAGGATTTTGTTTGTTTTTCACAAAAATGGTCATTTGAGCTGTAAGGCAAAAGTTCAGCCTCCTAGGCTGAATGGTGCGAAGACTGGAGTTTTCTCCACAAGGAGCCCACATCGTCCCAATGCAATAGGACTGACCCTGGCCAAGCTGGAAAAGGTAGAAGGTATACATGTCGTTTTTACTTTTAACCTTTTTTTTCTTCTTAAAAAGAAGTCTTATAAAATCTGCATAATATTCAACACTGGCTGTTATTCAGACAAATACTGGTGATGTCGAGAAACATTTTGACATAAACTGTCAGAGGATGCTCAGAACTTATTTATATTGTTACATTTATCCAAGTTTAAATTATTTAAAAATAACTTAAGATTTCATAATCATTAAATTAGTAACCACATTTTCTCTGACTTGGAATGCAGTAAATACAAAATGATTAAAAAGTATTTGGATGCTTTCAAAATTTAACACACAGTAACTGGTCATACATGCATATGTGGTCAGCACATAGAGTGGTGGTGTGTCATTTCTTCCTTGCAGCCTGGAGGAAGTGAACTTGCATTGTGGCTGCAGTTGTGTTTGTCAGCTGTGATTTGTGGCAGAGGGCCTGGGATGAATCACACTGTAGGGTCAAACATCTGTCAGATTGTGGAAGTCCCTGTGTAGAATACCAGATTAGTTTTAACTCCCTGTTAATGTATAACCTAGTTTCTGAGCCAGACGATTTGGAAAGCAGGTGTCCCTTCTTGAACTTCTGGCCTAATCAGCACATTTGTTAGAGAGGCAGAAGATGAAGCAGCAGGTGGACTGGAAGTCAAAGACCACTCCAGGCTTCAGCTTGCTTATTTGTTCAGTGGGCAAAGAAGAAGGATCTGCCCTCTCTGGAACGCTGCATGATTTTTTTGAGGATCTTATAAGACAAAAGCTCTAAGAGTACTTTTCAGACTTTTGAGTGCTAAAAAGATGAGAGCAGTTATTTTGCTTGTTCTTTCTCAGAACTTGAACTCCTCTGCTGGATTGTATTCAACCAGGCCTTGGATAGGTTTTCTGGAAAAATTCTGTAGCTGATCCAACTTGAGTTTTATTAATTTGTGATGACTAACCAACTTGAGTAAGCAGTACTAGAACATTTTATGATCATTCGTACACCCACACGTATTTTCTGAGCACTGAATATGTGCCAGGCATTGTTCTGGGTGCTGGGGATATAGTGATAAACAGATCAGATAAAAATCCCTGCCCTACAGAAAAACTTAACACCCTAACGGGGGAGATCAAATCAGAAAGGTGAAAGGCAAGCACAATAACACTATAGTTACTAAATATGCATTATAGTGACTACTAGTGTTTGTGTGGTATGTTCAGTTTATAAAGAGCATTCATGTGCATTATCTCACAGTGGCTCTATGGATTTGGTAGGGTAACCATCTCCATTTTATGGATGAGGCCACTGCTGTTCTTTGATATTAGATAATTTTAATAGCATCTAGCCAGGGGGTAGTCTGACTCCAAATCCCATGTGCTCTTACCTATGCTACAGTGCCTTTCTTTCTTCAGTAGACATTGTTAGGCATAATCACTTAGAAAGTACAAAAGGCATCTTTCCAAAGTTCCAGGCTCACTCACAGTAAGCATAATTTTAGAAATCAAAGTCCTTTGTTAGTCATGTTTTTCTTAAATGGAGACAGAATCCAATGTGATCATACACAGTTTTTCTGGCCAATTTCCCAAGGATCAAGTTAGTAGACTTAGACTGTGCACGAGTAGTAGGATCTGGATAGCAGCTATGTAAGTGAGAAAACAAGAGACCTGTTCTTAATATTTGTTAATGGTGACTTGTGTTCTGCTTAATTGTTTGATGGAGTATTAAATTTCAGTTGCTGCATAACAAATTATGCACATATCAGTTTAAATAATACACATTTATTATGTGTTTAAAACATTATTATGTTTTTGTGGGTCAGGAGCTGGGTCCTCAGCTTAGGGTCTCACCAGGCTGCAATTAAGGTGTCAGCTGGGATGAGTTCTTATCTGGAGGCTTGACTGTGGAAGAATTCACTTCCAAGCTCACTCAGGTTGTTGGCAGAATTCACTTCCTTATAGTTGTGGGACTGAGGGCCCCAGCTTCTTGCTGGTCGTTGATTGGTGGCTGCCCTCCACTCCTAGACACCCCGCCTGCAGTTTCTTGCCACCTGGGCTATCCCTGAGTGGCTGCTTACTTCATCAAGTCCACATGGACAGTCTCTTGAGTGAGTCTGCCAGCAAGCACAGGCATCTTAACATAATATAGTTACTGGAGTGATATCAAGTCACACTCAAGAGGATGGGATTGTACATGGCTGTGAACACCAGGAGGTGGGCTTCATGGGGACCACCTTAGAGTCTGTTTGCCACAATGGAAACGTTCATTGGTCTCACAGAGATACATTGAGGACACCAGTGTGCCTGACAGAGTTAGAAGACCCAGTGATGCAAAGATGAGTCAGCCCCACCCAGTGCTGAAGGGTTCAACTGCTCACTGTCTAGGGAGAGAGACTCTAAGCCGGTTATTGCCGGACCACATGAAGAGGGCTCTAGGAGAAGTTTGTATACAGGTTCCTCTAGAACACAAAGGAAAGAGTGCTTATGTCTTGGAGAGCCTGGAGGGCTTTTGTAGAAGAGGTGTTACGTGAGAGCCTTGGAGAGCAAGTGGGAGTTTGACAGGTAAAGACGAGGATGGGTTTCCAGTGTATGTCAGCACCAGGAGGTTCCTCTAGAACACAAAGGAAAGAGTGCTTATGTCTGGGAGAGCCAGGAGGGCTTTTGTAGAAGAGGTGTTATGTGAGAGCCTTTGAGAGCAAGTGGGAGTTTGACAGGTAAGATGAGGATGGGTTTCCAGTCTATGTCAGCACCAGGTGTAAGAGAGCCTGGTACATAAGAGAATTGTGAGCAAGCTTAGGGAAGCATAGGTAGATGATGCCAGTTCTTCAGTTGTTTGCACTATTCTTCATTGTTATTTCTAAGAGGTATTTTTCACATTATAGGTGGAGCTATATACCTTTCTGGAATTGACATGATTCATGGCACACCTGTACTGGACATAAAGCCCTACATTGCTGATTATGACTCACCACAAAATTTGATTGAGCCTTTAGGGGAGTGTAATTTACAGAATAACCAATATAAACCAAAAATTGTGTCCCGGTCTGATGCCAAGACTGACAGCCGTGCTCAGCAACAGCTCTCTGAGTGCGAGGAACCACAGCCCTGCGGTCGCACTAAGGAGAAGCCTGCATGTCCCGAACACAGAGCTTCAGGAGAAAATGACATGCAACACAAAGACACAGCCAAAATCCAGCAACGCTCGCCTAAGCACAGGGAGACAACAGACTTGGGTTTAGAATCCAGAAGTGGTCAAACACTGAGTGTGGCGGAGGAGCAGATGGGCCCATGTCGCCTGGAGAAGAGCTTTTCAGAGGAGAGTACAGATGAGCGGCCACGGAGAAGGAAAGAAGCAGTGGTCCCACAAGGAGGCAGTGGGGAGGTGCAGCCCTTGCCTCCTCACTGCCCTCACCGGATGGCTGACGCAGCCCACCACAGTGTGGTTCCCGCCTGGGTGCGAGAGGCCCCTGTGGCCACCTTGCAGGTCCGGTTTACTCCTCACGCAGAGATGGACCTTGAGCACCTCAGTTCAGAAGGTGAACCAGGTACTTTCCATTTCTTATTTCTGAATGAGAGAGGAGCTTTTACTAGGAGGTTTAGCCAAATTTGCTATTTCTGAGGGTAAGATCTCTTAGCACAGAAACTGTCCACATAAAGTCCTAGCACTAGAGACATGCATTTTATTGCAGAAGAGGCCAGACTTTTACTTGGAGCCTGTTTTCTTTAACATGTGGTTCTTTAAAAACATTATCTGGTTTCTCCAGCCCATAGCAGATCCAAAGCAGCCATCTAGAATGAAGGACAGGCTGTGAAGAGGTGGGTGCAGTGGCTCCAATAGAAAGTAGCCAGTTATGAAGGAGATGTCAGATTTCATCTGCCCCTGGAGGGTTGTGCTTCTCATTCCTCCTAAGGCTTTATGTTTAAACAAAGCATTTGCTTTTTAAATTGATCTCCTTATTAGAAAGTTTTGTTTATGAAAGTTGTTTTATCACTCGGTACAGTTGATGGGGAGGAGGAAGTTCAGTTTTAAAAGGATTTTTGTGGTAGAACAAAGCAGTGCTCCCTAGAAGATACTTTATATTTACACTTGCCCTTTGTCTTGTGGTTATTGTTGAATGCTTCTTACTTTGGAAAGTTTTCTCTTTTTCAAACTACAGTGTTGTACTTTCTTGATTAAAAATAGTTAAAAAGAAATTACGAAATATAACTATAAACAGGGATTGATTTATAACAGATAGCAGACTTTAGAGCCTGTATAGAAATAAGAAATGAGCTCAGAAAGTTCAGAGTCTAGAAAAGATGAAAGATACTGAATAGAGAGAGAGAGGTTGGCACTGATTGAGTGCTGTGGGAACATGAGGGAGAGAAGGATTCTGACTTGTGCAGCAGGGAGACAATCTGGGAAGGCTTCCTAGAGGAAAAGGCATTTGAGCTTAGCCCAGAAGGATAGGTAGACAGGGAAGGGAGGGAAGGCACCTATGCCAAATGAACAGCCAGGCAAAGGCCTGGAGCTTCTTCTTCCAGACACACTGTTACTGAAGTAGGTGATGTGTTTTCTGTTGTTTTTTGTTTTTATTTATTTTTTTTCTTTTCTTTGTTGTGTGTGGATGTTTTTGGAACTCTGCTGTTTTGAGTGGTTTTAGAGTCATTTTATGAGCCGTGCAACAAGGGAATCTTAGCACTGTGTAATTGGTCCTTGTTTTTTGATCAACAATTGAACTTCATGGCTTTACCTACAAACGTATTTATTGGAGATAGCCTAGAATGAATTTTGGCTGTTTTCTAAAAATTAAATTTCCTTTCAGAAGGATAGGAACCCACAGCCACTCTAGATCAGCAGTTGCCAGCCGGTGGGCCGCGGACCACTGGTGGTCTGTGAGGTCTGAAAGGTTGGCGACCGCTGCTCTAGATGATATTTTGAATAGGGACAACATTGTTTAAAGCACATGCCTTTCTGGAAGGGTCTTGCCTTCATTTGGACATATATATATTATGTTATAGCTATTAAAAACTAGGTCACTGTTAATTTTTTATTTAACTACTAGTGGCCTGGTGCATGAATTCATGCACATTGAAAGGAAATTAATTAGAAGAAGTATTTTATTATTGCTATTCACCCTTTCTTTATAATAGAAATGTCAACCAAATTCATGATCGACAATGACAGATGGAAACACATGTGTGCAGTTGGCGCCAGCGAGAGCTTTACATGTATTATGCATGCACGAGTCAACTTAGCCTTTTATAGATATAGAACAAACTTGCTTAATTAGACCTGCTTTTTGATTTAGCTAAACTTTTTCCAGCCCAGTGAAGCACCCCAACTTCTCTTTCAACACAGCAGTAAATATCAACAGGAAGCAGATTATTATTGTAGATCACGCAGGGAGAACAAAGGATAAAATATTTAACTGCAGCAGTGTTTGACTATATTCTGCGCAGTGAGAAAACCTGAAGTCATTTTTAAGGTCCACCATTTCTTCTTTTCAGTCGGTTCAAGTTTCTAAGCTTTCTAAATCTCCGTTTTCCAGCTAATGAAAAGAAAATGGGATTCCACCGAGTCTCCTATCTACCTACTCCAGGATTTCTGTGAGGATCAAATGAGATGAGGCACAGGAAAACGCTTCACAGGCATTTGGTTACAGTGTAAAGTGTTTCCACTAGCTATAAAGCAAGTTGTGTTCCTGGGCTGCAGAAACTGCAGGGAGGCTAGTCGTCACTAGGGAGAGGAAGCTGGGCATTGCTACGTGACATCATTACCCGGAAAGAAGGATGGTCACTTAGCATATTAGCCTTTTATATATAGATTTTACAATGCTATCAATGCAGAAGTGTTGCTATTTGGCAGGGTAAACATCTGTTTGCCTGACATACACACCTGGGTGGAATGGGTTGGCCTGTTCTTTGTGATGGCTTCTTTCTCAGTGTATTTGTTCCACAGTTTTCACAAGGACTCTCTCATGTTCTGTTCCTTAGAGAATGTGACGTCACTAACTGTGGGGCTGTGTGACACCTGCTCTTGGAGGCACCTTCCCTTGCTTACAGCTAGTGCTCTGGGCCTGTGTGGGTTTAGTCCTCTTTCTTGTGGCTTTCTGAGAATGCTGGGCCTGTCACGTATTTCCCTGATCATGCCTCCATTTATTCTGAGAAGAAAATGACAAGGAATTGAATTAAAGTCTACATTGATCATAGAAAAGTGACATTTAGGTTGCCAGAAAATGAAAGCTCAGCTCTCCTATTAAGGGACTAAGGAAAAATATCACCATGATATTTTTTGTTTAGCAAGTGGAAATTTTGGGGACCCATAAGTTTAATGACACTTGAAGGCTTCCTGAAGGAAAAGATATTACTCTAAGTACTACTTGAAGGTGACATTCTCTGTAATGACTGAATAGATTTCCAAACCCTCTTCATTTCAAGTGATACTCAAGGAACTAATAAAGCTCCTCATTGAAGTTTGCTGTAATAAAATTTGACGTGTGTGATTTTGAGCATTAAGTTGTGTTGTTCTCATTGCAGATGTTGGTCGGGCTTCATTTAAGTATTTTCAGTCAGCGGAGGAAGCAAGGCATGCCATCGAGGCTGTGTTGTCAGCCGACCCCCGGTCTGCATACCGACGGAAGCTCTGCCAGGACCGCCTTTTCTACTTTACTGTAGACACAGCACACGTCACTTGCTGGTTTGGTGATGGCTTTGCAGAGGTCCTAAGGATCAAGCCGGCTTCTGAGCCTGTTCAGATGACTGACCCTGTGGAGTCCTTGGTGTCTCTGGGATCGTAAGTAGCTGCCATCACATCGTTAAGACAGCCTGCTTGGCTTTGGTTGTGACTAGCCGATTTTTCGTACAGGCTAATGATGTGACTTCTTTTCAGAAAGAAGCAGCACTTTGTGGTCTCACTGCTTTGTTTGATTTGAGTTGTTCATAATATTTATTTAAAAAACATGTCTCTTAATAAATTGAGAGAGAAAATTTAAAGAAATTGCTATATGCTTCTTGATTGGTTAACATCAAAGAATGCAAAATGATGCTGTCTCAGTGATTTCTGAAAGAAGCTGGTGGTTCTTGGCACTTGATGAAATTGGGCAGAGATCATTTTTGCAGGGACTTGCAAGCTGAGGGGACCTGTTCAACAATTCATATTGGTTTTCCTGTTTGGAAAAGCCTGACCTCTCTGTTTTATTCTAATCAAGCTGAGTTACTATATCCTGGGAAACTAACAAATAAAAAACAAGTGGTTATAAAGATCTTAGAGATTAAACCCCTGTGCTTCAGACAAGCACACGAGTGCACATGTGAATATATATTTAATCCTGATTCCAAAATAGAGACTTAGATTTCTTTGTATAAGGAAAAAAAGTCAACCTGGCCAGTGTGGCTCAATGATTGAGCATTGACCTATAAATCAGGAGGTCACGGTTCGATTCCTGGTTGGGGTACAAGGACTCTCTCATGTTCTGTTCCTTAGAGAATGTGACGTCACTAACTGTGGGGCTGTGTGACACCTGCTCTTGGAGGCACCTTCCCTTGCTTACAGCTAGTGCTCTGGGCCTGCTCTCATCATTGATGTTTCTATCTCTCTCTCCCACTTCATTCCTCTCTGAAATCAATAAAAATAAAAAAAGAAAGAAAAAAAAGTCACCTCCAGAAGTCTAAGAAAATAACTTAATTACTGGTTTATTTCTTATTTATTCTATGACTGTCTATTGGGTTAGATTTTGGTGATAAAATGAGATGAATATGATCCAGTTCTTGTTGCAAATCATAGTGGAGGAAAAAGACATAAGGACATTATTGTATTCTGTTAGATAAATATATAGTAATTAAGTCTGGATGTACCTCGTTCCTGTGTAGTACCATGTAGGAAGCAGTTGTAATAATATATTGCCTATAGGTGATTTTATTGATGTGATCTCAGATAAGATTTATAATCAGTGTAACCAAATTAGATACCTGTAAACATGACATAGGCTTTCCTAATCACAATTGTAAATCTTAATGGCTGATTGATCATGGTTTTGAAATGAGCCCTGCTGCTTGCACATTCTTGCACAGAGTCATTTGTGGCTGATGACACTGTACTTGTGAATTAAACTAGGTTGTCTATGAGGTGACTTAGAACCTCTTGGGGAAGTATCTTTAATTTTGTTTTTAAAAGCTTTTTATTTTGAGTTATAATAGATTTACAGGAAGTTGCAAAAATAGTGCAGATGTTCCGAGTACCCTTCACCTAGCTTCTAGTTGTGATAACATCTTACATAACTATAGTATAATGTTAAAACTTGGATGTTGACATTGGTATAATCCACCCTAAATTTTGACTTCGATGTTTTTCTCTTAAAATTATTTTGAGACTGAATAAGGGCTTGAAGCATGAAATGTGGATACTTAATATGGAAAAAATAAGTCTGAGGATGATACCAATTAGCCTTCTAGCAAGAGGACTGTTCAGTTGTTAGAGGTTTTAATATACATTCTCAAACTTTTAGAACTAAGTCCTAAATGTAATCCAGCTTAATTCTCAGCCAGCTCATCAGTCTCTAATATTCCTAGTGTTTGACCTTCTAGCCCAGAGATGGCGAACCTATGACACACGTGTCAGAGGTGACACGCGAACTCATTTTTTTGGTTGATTTTTCTTTGTTAAATGGCATTTAAATATATAAAATAAATATCAAAAATATAAGTCTTTGTTTTACTATGGTTGCAAATATCAAAAAATTTCTATATGTGACAGGGCACCAGAGTTAAGTTAGGGTTTTTCAAAATGCTGACACGCCGAGCTCAAGAGGTTCGCCATCACTGTTCTAGCCCCTGCTTAAAATCCTCCAGGATGATCCTTCACCCTGATCCTCATTATGTATGGACAGTGCTCATTATTAAAATTTCCTTCTTCTTTATGACATAAAATCTGTTCTCCAATAACTTCACCCTTTACTGGGACAATTTCACTCCCATTAGCCTGTCAGATACCATCCAGCTTCCCACCCTTCAGTCCCCTCATATGTCAGCACCCCTATTTTCTTCAGCTGTTTCTCATATAACATGTTCAGAAGCCGCTCTCCACCCCAACCCTTGAGTTCCTGAGTGTCCTGTTGTAAAGAATTTTGGATCTCTAGGTCTTGAACTTCCATCCCTCAGAAAGAGAAGTAGTTTTATTTTTAAATCCACACCCAAGGATATTTTTTTCCATTGATTTTTAGAGAGAGAGTGGAAGGGAGAGGGAGAGACAGAGAGAAACACTGATGTGAGAGAGACACATCGATTGTAGAGAGAAACATTGATGTGAGTGAGACACATCGATTGTTTGCCTCCTGCATGCCCTGACCAGGGCCCGGAGCCTACAACCGAGGTACATGACCTTGACCGGAATCAAACCCAGGACTCTTCAATCTGCAGGCCAACACTCTATCCTTAGCATTTGTGTTGTCCAATTCTAAGAGCTGGTTATTAGACTCTTATCCAATATATGATTTGTAAGTATATCCTTCTTTCTATGAATTGTCTTCTCAGTTTCTTGTTAGTTACCTTACAGCATAAAAGTTTTTTAAAAGTCTGATTTATTTGTTTTCTTTTGTTGCTTATGCTTTTCATGTCATATTTAGGAACCATTATCTAAACCAAAGCTACAAAGATTTATATGTATGCTTTCTTCAGAGACTTTTATACTTTTAGCTCTTACTTTTAGGTTTTTAATCCATCTTAAGTTTTTGTATAAGATGTGTGGTATATGAGTTTTTTATACAAATTTAGTTTTACTCTTACATATGGCTATCCAGTTGGCCCAACACCATTTCTTAAAAAGACTATTTCTTAATTGAATTGTTTGGGCACACTTGTTGAAAATTATTTGACAATAGCTGTGAGGGTTTACTTCTGGAATCTCAATTCTATTCCACTGACTTATATGTCTATTTTTATGCTAGTGCCACACAATCTTAGTTACTGTAGCTGTGGAGTAAGTTTTAAAATAAGGAAGTATGATCCCTCCTACTTTATTCTTTTTCAATTTGTTTTAGCTATTTTGGATTTCTTATAATTCCATATAAATTTTAGTATCTGCTTGTTAATGTCTCCAAAAAAAGAGCAGGTGAGATTTTGATAGAGATTGCATTGACTCTGGGAATTAATTTAGGGAGTATTGCTATCTTAACAATATTAAATCTTCCAATCCATGAACATGTCTTTCCATTAATTTAGTTCTTTTTAAATTGATTTTAATGATGCTTTTTAGTTTTCAACATGCAAGTATGACATCATTTTGATTAAATTCATTCTTAAGTATTTGATTATTTTAATGCTGTTATGAGTGGAATTATATTCTTAATTTCATTTTCAGATTTTTTATTGCTAATGGACAGAAATATAATTGATTTTTGTATATTGATCTTGTATCAGGCAACCTTCCTGAACTCATTAGCTCCAATATACTTTTTATGGATTCCTTAGTATATTTTTATGCAAACTTGTGTCTTCTTAAAATAGAAATAGCTTTTTAGTGTTTTCTTTCCTATCTGGATATTTTTATATTTCTTTTTCTTACTGAATTTCCTTGGCTAGAACCTCCAATACAGTGTTGAATAGTTAGAAGTGTTGAGAATGGATATACTTGACAACTTCCTGATCTTAGTGGGTAAGAATCCAATCTTTCACCATTAACTATGATGTTATCTGAGGGATTTTCAGACACCCTTTATCAGGTGGAAAAATTTCCCTTATATTCCTAGGTGCTGAATCATGAAAGGCTGCTGGATATTTTCAGATGTTTTCCTTAATCTATTGAGGTGCTCAAGTGGTTTCTTTTCTTTTTTCTATTAATATGGCCTAGTGCAGTGATGGCGAACCTATGACATGCGTGTCAGAGGTGACATGCGAACTCATTTTTTTTGGTTGATTTTTCTTTGTTAAATGGCATTTAAATATATAAAATAAATATCAAAAATATAAGTCTTTGTTTTACTATGGTTGCAAATATCAAAAAATTTCTATATGTGACAGGGCACCAGAGTTAAGTTAGGGTTTTTCAAAATGACGACACGCCGAGCTCAAGAGGTTCGCCATCACTGTTCTAGCCCCTGCTTAAAATCCTCCAGGATGATCCTTCACCCTGATCATTATGTATGATGGACAGTGCTCATTATTAAAATTTCCTTCTTCTTTATGACATAAAATCTGTTCTCCAATAACTCCACCCTTTACTGGGACAATTTCACTCCCATTAGCCTGTCAGATACCATCCAGCTTCCCACCCTTCAGTCCCCTCATATGTCAGCACCCCTATTTTCTTCAGCTGTTTCTCATATAACATGTTCAGAAGCCGCTCTCCACCCCAACCCTTGAGTTCCTGAGTGTCCTGTTGTAAAGAATTTTGGATCTCTAGGTCTTGAACTTCCATCCCTCAGAAAGAGAAGTAGTTTTATTTTTAAATCCACACCCAAGGATATTTTTTTCCATTGATTTTTAGAGAGAGAGTGGAAGGGAGAGGGAGAGACAGAGAGAAACACTGATGTGAGAGAGACACATCGATTGTAGAGAGAAACATTGATGTGAGTGAGACACATCGATTGTTTGCCTCCTGCATGCCCTGACCAGGGCCCGGAGCCTACAACCGAGGTACATGACCTTGACCGGAATCAAACCCAGGACTCTTCAATCTGCAGGCCAACACTCTATCCACTGAGTCAGACCATCTAGGGCTGAAAGAGAAGCAATTCTTATATGTATTTTCATCTTGGAAACTTTTTCAAAAGAAGAAGGGACAAAATTTTCTGTACTATGCATAAATAACATCTACCTTTATTGTAGTCTTTCCTTCTTGGTGCCTGTAGGTGGAGCCCTTGATAGCCGATTATTTTCAGTAGCTTGGAGATAAACTCCAGGAGTTCAAGCTGTTCAGGTAATTTAGGTTTTCTGCCCTCCTGTCCCAGCTTTCCAAAACAGTAATTTCCACAAGAGATGTTGATCAATCACATATAGGAAGAGATTAGAAGGACCAGTGCCATTTATTAAATTTGTGTATTGGACTTGGTTTAGGGTTGGGATGCATTATTCCAGCATGTAGAGCAAGCATGTCAAACTCAGGCTAACACGGGCCAAATAAACAAGGCTTAAGTTTATGTGGGCCACAAAAAAACAAAAGCTTCAATTTTCATAGAAACATAAGTTTATTTCGATATAGACATGCTGAATACAAAGGGCTGAAATAATGAGTAATCGTTAAAATAATAGAACATTTTAATAAAAATTAATATTTTTTCTTGAACATTAACTTACCAAACACTGAATAATTGCACAAATTAATAAGCGTAAAGCCAATAAGCCTATTTTTCTTGTTCTCCGAAAACGAAATATTTTCTGTTGCACACACGAAACAAGTCAGTCCAAGACTAATGACGTGGCAATCGGCTGCTAAAATATTTGCTGCAAGTATGGGCCGTGAGGCTGCAGTGGGCCCAGGGTCTCAGCCCATCCTCCACGCCCCCACCTGGCGCCTCCCGCTGCGGCCCTGGTCCCTTGCGTGCCAGCAGCCTCGCTCCTGCCGCTGCCGCTCCCACACGCTGACAGCACCAGCCCCGCTTGCACCCGCTGACTGCACAGAGCGATTGGGGCTGGTGCCATCAGGCTGCTGCCCCGATCGCCCCTGAGGAGCAGGGGGAGATGGAGAAGCCCTCAGGGGTGATCAGGGCCAGTAGCCGCCGCTCACGCCTGCTGACAGCACCAAGCTAGGACCAGTGCTGCCAGGCACCGGCTGTGGGTGCGAGCGGTGGCTCTGGCAACTGGTGCGAGCACCGGGCGGGACTGCGGCATGTGGGAGCAAAGAATTTTCAGTAACCACCAGAGACTTGCCCTGATGACAGGCTTGCCCGGATGACAGCGACTGGTGCCCCGCCTTGGTCTGGCGCCCCCGCACACCTGGTCCACCATCCTGCTGCAGCTGAAGCCCGCCATGTTCCCCACTCTGCTGCCTGCTGCCGACACCCGCCATGTTCTGTGCACGTCCCCTGGTGGTCAGGGCATGTCATAGCAACTGGTTCAGTTATTCCACCATTCGGTCTATTTGCATATTAGGGTTTTATATATATATAGATTATGTGTAACAGGATATTGTAAAAATTAAGTTACAAAATTTTTATTAAAACGTTTTTTACATACCGTTATATTGGCTGGGCCACAAAAATATTTGTTGTGTGGCCCGCAAGTTTGACATGCTTGATGTAGAGGCTGTACACAACCAGAAAGTCTCATTAGCCAAACCTACAAGCATGTGTGTACAAGACCTTCATTCTATTTACCTGTTTGTGACTTTTTGTTTGAAAAGAAGAAAATGAAGTTGAAGACATGAATTCACCTCTTGTGATAGTTTTCTTTTTATGATATGGTCCCAGAGAAGGCAGATGAGGACTCAATCATAATGAAATGTGTGTCAGTTAGTGAACTTTTATCATGTCCTTGGTACTCGTCTACATGCTTTTCATACATTAATCAGAGGTTAGGTCGAGCTCACATAGCTGGTCAGCATGCATCGAGGATGTCAGCCCACCTAGCCTGGCCCCAGCGTTGGCTCCCTCCCAGCTTGGCTCCGGATGTAGATGCTCAGCAAACCATGCTGGTTTATTTGAGGGTCAGCCATTCCATATGCTTACTAAGCACGGGATGCTTACTAAGCATCATTACTAAGTGATGTTCATGGGAACCCAACCACTAACTGAAGAACAGAGAGAGGAATAAAGGCAGAAACTTCCATTCCCACTAGATCTGCATGGAACCTCCTGGGAAGCAGCGTGGGAGATGTGGAGAACACTGAGTTTGGCCTCAGAAACTTCAAGTGCTGTTTTTTGCTCTGTCCTGCGCTAGCTGTGTGACCTTGGGCAAGTCACTGCGTTAATCTCCAGCTCCCTGACCTTACAGAGCTGCTACAAGGGTGATGCTTGGGATAATATTTTCTAAACCCTTTAATAGTCTGTAAACTTAGGTAATATTTTATTGGGCCTATAACAGTGATGACGAACCTATGACACCCGTGTCAGAGGTGACACACGAACTCATTTTTTTGGTTGATTTTTCTTTGTTAAATGGCATTTAAATATATAAAATAAATATCAAAAATATAAGTCTTTGTTTTACTATGGTTGCAAATATCAAAAAATTTCTATATGTGACACGGCACCAGAGTTAAGTTAGGGTTTTTCAAAATGCTGATACGCCGAGCTCAAAAGGTTCGCCATCACTGGCCTATAATCATTAACCCCTTTCTCTGCACTCTGCTCCATCTTACATGGCTGGGCAAGCAGACTCAGGAGAATCAAGGGGTTCCTAAAATCCAATGTATAGATGCCTCTGTTTTCTTTTTGTGTTATAGAAATTTTTTTTTTTTTTAAGGGACTCCTTTTAGCAAGTTATAGGATGTTTTGCTAAGGGAGATATCACAAAGCGCCCCCATCCTAAGGACCTACTTGATGTTCTGCCGCAGGCCCAAGGCAACTTCTTTCCATCTGGCTTTCCCTTCTGGGTGGTACATGTACCACAAACTGCCTTCACTGTCCATGCATGCAGTCACCAGCTCAGTCCTTCGCGTGTGCAAGGCAACCAATCGTTGTGTCTCTCTGTCTCTCCCCCTCCCTTCCACTCTCTGAAAATCAATGGAAAAAATATCCTTGGGTGAGGCTTAAAAATTTTTTTGAGTCAATGTGTATTTATGTTGTGCTGATGAAGAAAAGGTAGGATCAGATGTAATAGTGTTATCTATCTCTTCTGCCTTGTAAATTATTTGAGCATTCTATTCAGATTCTTCACTAATTCTTTTTGCAATTCAAATACAGACAGTTCTCTGTTACGTGGGACTCCACGTATGTCATTTCGTGGTTACATCGCCATCTCCCATTTATTTATAAAGAAAAGGAAAAAATTCCATCATTTCGACATATGTACATACGTGCTTTATGTTTTTTATTATTTATTTACCACAAGTAAAGGTGGTTAGGTCTCCAGCTTAGGTCCCAGAAGCAAAATTAACCCATCACATGTTGCTAAGTTACCAAAGAGATAATAATATATTTAAAACTGAGATTAACCAAAGAACTTATATGCATATATGCATAACCCATGGACGGATAATAACACAGTGAAGGCCTAGTAAGGGGGTAGGATGGGAGGGAGGGAGTCAATTGGGGGAAAGAAGGACATCTGTAATACTTTCAACAATAAAGAT